GCTTGGTGAGATTCATACCTCCCAGCCAGGCCTGTATCGCCACCCCCACCCTTGTCGAATAGCACTGTGCGCGTACCGTCGTTTGCCACAAGTCATGCATGATCAACCATCTCCTGCAAAACGGCACATCCTGCCGAAGGCTCCGCCCATGTGCAGTTGTGAGTACCACGGTGGTGGGCATCGCCTTCCTTGGAGCACCCCATGGAGTGGCGAACCGTTTGAAGGATGTGTCGAGATGGGCGCGGGGGACGCATGCGAGCACTGCCACTGGGGCCTTCGGTGCGGCTCCTCGTGGGGCCACGAAAAGTGTGAGGGGTGTGACGGTGTGCCGTGCGGAGGACGTATGCGAGACACTCCGCTGGGGCATTGCTTGGAGCCCCCTATGGGGCCACGAACCGAGTGAGGGGTGTGCCGACCTGGTTGGCGGGGGCGCATGCGAACGGCACTGCTGTGACCTTCGGTGGGCTTCCTATGGGGGCCACGAAGCGTGCGAGGGGTGTGCCGACCTGGGTGGCAGGGGCGCATGCGAACGGCACCAGTGGGGCCATAGGTGGAGCTCCCTATGGGGCCACGAAGCGTGTGAGCGGTGTGCCGAAACGGGTGGTGGGAACGCATGCGAAAGGCACCATTGGAGCTTTACGTGGACCTCGTGTGCCGACATGGGTGGCGGGGGCGCATGCGAAGGGCACCAGTGGGGCCATAGGTGGAGCTCCTTATGGGGCCACGAAACGTGTGAGGGATGTCGGAGTGGACATGCGGGGTGTGCCCAAAGCAGAGACATGTGGAGGGCAGGTGCGAGAGTGGGGACGGCGAGGAGAAAGAGCAGGAAGTCGCGGGGCGTTGTCTCTTCAAAACGACGACCCAAAGCCACAGGATAGTTGGGGAGGACAGAGTCGACACGTGCGTGCCGTCGCGCGCACATGCCAGAATTCTCTATCATCTTTAGTTTGGGACGCATTTTAAGGTCGGGCTTCCGGACATCAAATATCAAACAGTGGGTTTGCAGCAGCATTGTTCAAACACATACGCGCGCTTGGTCGCAAACTTGGAGTTCAAGATTTTCAAGATCCGCATCGCATGCGACGAAGCAGGCCTTCTCGCGCGCGTATATCGAAATCGTTCGAACGCTCTTGCGCGCGTGCTAGGGAGACGCGCCAAGCAGACATCACAATCGTCGCCGCATCTGTTTTGCAAACCAACTTGTGGGTTGGCGGGTGGGATGGGTGGGCGAGCAGTGGAGTTGACAATTTCAAATTCTGCATGGTGAGTTGCACCACGTAGGTGGCACCACCGACAATACACAGCATATTTTGCACACCATGATTTGCACAACACAGTGTACATCGATTCTCCTCTTCTAGGAAAAACTAAGATCTACCACCCACCTGCCCCCCAGGACTCCCACGCCTTGGGGGTGTGCAACTTGCATGTAGTTCTGCACCATCGCTCATTCGACGTATAATTGAAACATCCCAGCCAGGCAAGTATCGGCCCCCCCACACCATCCTCCGCAACAAATGTTATTCGCGCGCACTCGCTCCATCAAACATCAACAATTTCCAAGAATTTGTTGCAGCAGATGTGACGTAGTGCACGCGCGCGCGCCGCGCGTAGTCGATACCCTTTTCAAAAACACTCCAGGCTTCGTCAAAGTTCTAAATCGAGCGCCTCGAATACACAACACACACACGGTTCTGCAACATTCGATTTTTAAAGAAGAAAGCAAACATCGGCGCGCGTTGTTGCCAATTCCTGAGAAAAGCAAGAGTTTCGTCAACAGATTCAAGTGCGACCAGGGGGGGCGGGGGGCACGATCCCTGTCAAATAGTATTATGTGGGCCATTTGAGCGCGTCGGCCGCGCGCGCATGTCGAAATCCTTCTAACCCTTCATCACCGACGTGTGGACACCATCACCGATATCGGCGTGATCCGCATCGGTACCGTCATTTGTCTTGCCTTCGTCATCGTCGTCGTCGCCCTCAGCATCGCTGCAATCATCATCATCATCATCATCATCATCATCATCATCATCATCATCATCATCATCATCCTCATCCTCATCCTCATCCTCATCCTCATCCTCATCCTCATCCTCATCATCATCATCATCAGCATCAGCATCATCATCATCATCAGCATCAGCATCAGCATCATCATCATCATCATCATCATCATCATCATCATCATCATCATCATCATCATCATCATCATCATCATCATCATCATCATCATCATCATCATCGTGTGTGTGTCGTTGTCGACGTCGCCAATGATACCGGCCCCGCCCGAGTCACCGATTCGCACTGAAGTGCCCGCGCCTCAGTGCGGCTTGTTAGACGCGTTGGGAAGGCCCCAGCGGCCAGCGCCACCGCGGCCTCGTCGGCCGCGCCAGACTAGCTGGCCGCTCTGCGCGCGAGCCTGCGCGCGCTAGCGCGATCGCAGCAATGCGCAAGCCAGCGCCAGGCAGGCATCACAAGTGCTGCCTTATTTGCTTTCCAAGCCAAGTTGCGGGCGGGATGATTGCCCGAACAGTGGATTTGACAGCTCACTGCTAAATGACAGTCCTATATGCATATGTCCCTGAGAGCCTGGCGTTGCATTTTTTACACCAGGCGTTTGCGCTCAATTTCGCCAATTTCAAGCCCCGCCAGGCCACAACAGATCGGTCCCAACTCCAAAAATGATGCAAAAACGTGAGGTCCATGGCTCCGGTCGCGATTGTTTGCGATGTTTCAGTTATTTTGCCACGTCGGACCTCAGGTATGGGCCGGCCACGCGTAAGAGTGATCCCTCGCCGGAGTGGCATGTGGCGCGCGGCTTTCGAGGGCGTTGGGGGGGGGGGGCAAACCCAATCGCAGGGGCTGCCACTGTCGCACCGCATGCAGCGATCGGCAAGCTGCGCGCCAAAGCTCCCTCTTGCCCAGGGTCACTCCGTGCGTGTCGCCGACTTGGTTGCCCCTTCCTTCCCCGTTGCCTCCCCCCTCCATCCCCGTCCCATCTTCCCCCTCCCCCTTTTTATCGCCTCCTCCTCCTCCTCCTCCTCCTCCTCCTTAATTCCTCGCCACCCCCGCCGCCCAGGGAGCCAGCAAGAAGGTCGGGAAGCTGCGCGTGGCGGCGGGGGGCGCGCTGCCGCTGGTGCGGCTCAGCTGCGCGCTGCTCCCGCAGATCTGCCAGGCTCCCCCTCGGCGCAGCCCCCCGCGCTGGGGGCACCGGGCTCGCCAGTCGGGGTCCGACCACCAGAGGAGGAAGAGGTACTGGCGCCAAGAGCGCCACCCTTCCTTCGCCCTCCCCTTTTTTCCGGGCCTCCTGGGAGGCCTTCGTCGCCAATGCCCTTCGTGGCCCCCGCTCGCTCCCATCGTGGCCCCATATGCATGCCCTTCGTGGCCCCGCTGTCGCCCTTTGTGGCCCCCTCGCTGCCCTTCGTGGCCCTGGTGCTGCCCTCAGCGGCCCCGTCGCTGCCCTCTGTGGCCACGGATTTGATTCCCTTCGTGGCCCACGCTGGCTTTCCTCACGATTTACTTGGGAATCGCGTTATCGCTCGAGACTTCCTCGCGATTCATGCAGGACCCACGCTTCAACAACCCGCCTGCTCGACCTCGTCGCTTGGGCCCGCCTTCCCGACCTGCCTGCTATGGGTATGCCCACCCGATCTGCCCGTCTGGTTCTACCACTTGTTTTCTGTTCCTTGCCCCCTCCTGCTAATTTCTCTCGAACTCCATTATTCTCACTCCCCCTTCCACCCGTCCGTTCTTCCCTTGTTCAAGGGGCTGCACTCAATACACGTGGCAGGTAAGGAAGATATACCCCGCAAGGGGGTACGATCGAAGACGACGAGGGCGGGTACCGAGGGTTTGGGATATAGGTATTCATTGGCACGCGAGCAGATAGAGCGAACAGTCTTAAAATGATTGTTGCTGCTGTTGCTGTTGCTGTTGTTGTTGCTGTTGTTGTTGCTGTTGTTGTTGATGTTATTGTGGTTGTGGTTGTGGTTGGTGTTGTTGTTGTTGTTGGTGTTGGTGTTGGTGTTGTGGTTGTGGTTATTGTCGTTGTTGTTGTTGATGATATTGTTGTTGTTGTTGCTGTAGTTGTTGTTCATTGAGACAGGAGGCCGCCCGCCCAACAGCTGCCGCGGTGGGTTTTGGACAACACTTCTTGTTGGGCATCGTGCCCATTTCTTCCGTACCCCTTTCGGGCGTCCAGAGCCATCGGGCGCACCCGTCCGCAGAGGCAGCGCGGCAGGAGGCGGCCAAGCGGGGAGGAGGGCGGGAGGGGCCCCAGCTTCTGGACGCAGCAGGGTGGAGGGGCGGGAGGGGTCCTTTCGTTCTGGGCGCAGTTTCCGCGTTCCGCCAAGGGCGGCGGCCCTCTCCCACTACACGTCCCTGGCGATGGGGCACAGCCTCTCCCACGGGCCCGCAAAAGGGAGCCCCGAGGAGGCAGGAAGGGACCTTGAGGCCGTCGGAGGCTCGTCGTCAGCGTGTGAATGCGAGCTGGAGGGCGGACTGCACCACCAACACCCCTCACCACCACCACCCGCCACAACAATGAAGCACCATCACCCCACCAGCCAACCCAACCCACCACCACGACTCCCACCTGCACCACCCACCAATCATATTTTCCACCACCGAAGCACGACCTACCGCCATTTACACAATCATCATCACCCTCCACCACCCACCAGAGCTGCCACCAACGACCACCCACCCACTACCAAGACCCCCCCCAACCGTCCACCACCCTTTCAATCAACCACCACCATCACCAAAGGCCCCACCACCACGCTCACCACCACACTTACCACCTCAACCTCCCCCATGACCACCACCTACCAGCGCCACCACGATTACAACCTCCACTCGCCCATCACCACGCACCACAACCCACCACCCCCTCCGCTAACCGCAAATAACCCATTCCCACCGCACGCCCACCACCCCACCCACCACCACCCTGCGATGCGTTGCTCTCGCCCTTGTGCTCTACGGCTAAGCCATTCCGCAGCTCTGGGCTCAAGGCAGCGCGGCCCCGACCGAGCGGCTGAGCTCGCCGCGAGCGCGCGCGCGCGCCACCCTCCGCCGCGTCGGCCACGCCGCGCCAGCCGTGGACGATGGCAGCCCGCGCGAGCTACAGCCCCTACGCCGAGCTCGGGGTGGCGCCCGGGGCGCCGGCGCGCGAAGTGCGCCGCGCGTTCCTGCGGACCCGCAGCGGCTGCGCGTCGAGGGAAAAACCGATCGCGTTGTGAGAAAGTCACGACGGGAGGTTCTTCGCCATGTTCGGCCTCTGGGGGCCCTGACCGGGCCTCGGGACCGTCAAAACACGGTCCAGGATGAAGAGCCGGTCCCCGGGGATGGGTCCGGACCTCTTTGGGGGGTCGCGTCATGAAAAAGTCACGGCGTCGCGGGGCCGGGTCTGGAGCGGCCCTTGGGGCGGGCCCACTGCTCGGCGTCGCTCGGACGTGTGCGCGCCTTTTTTCCTCGGCGAGGACCACCGTCGGGGAAACGTAAGACTCGAGTAAGCCAGAACTCGGTTTTGGGGGACGTCTTTTGACGAGCGCGTCCTGGATTTTGACGGTCCAGTTTTCGTGGGATGTTTGCAGCGGGAGCTCGCGTCAAATCTCAGATTGGGTCTCGTCATTTCTATGATGGCCACATCATGCCAACCCGAGTCCCCCGTACCCGAGTCTTACGTCTCCCCGACACCGGGGAGCATCCTGGGCCATCCCTGGCACAAAAGAACGCACGCGCGATCGACCGAAGCAGGCACGGGGAGCAGACAGGCCTACGAGCGATGGCAAGAGAACGGGGCCCGCCGATCGCTGGGAGCGGTGCGCCGGGAGCGTCTTGCGCGCTGGTGTCAGCCCCGGGAGGATGAGGAGGAACATCCTAAGGCTTCGGAAAGGGTTCGACTTCGCTAGTGCGATTCGACCGCTTGAATTGCAGCACTTGGGGTTGCTCGCCTGATGGGGATTGGGGCTTGGTGCGCCATTTGGCTCATTGGGGGTGACGCCCCTGCAAAAGAAATCCCACGACGTCGTCGTCGTCGTCGCCCCCCCCCCGCGCGGCCTCCCAGTGCCGCGCACCAGAGGTCACTCTGATCTAGGGTCACTCTTGCGCGTGGCCACCCACCCCCGCCCCCCGGCACTGGCTCGGGCCGGACGAACGGGGGCGGATGGGGAAAGGGGGGGTTACGAAGTTTGCTGCATGCAGCTGGTTTCGGCCTCACCGAGGGGCCCGTTCCTCGATACATGGCCGCCTCCAGCGCCGGGAGGCGCCGGGAAAATCAGCCACGTGAGCTGATTCTCAAACCCCCCCTTTGCGATCCCCCCCCTCTCGCCCGACCCGACTGGCTCGCGCGCTCTGATCTGGGCCCCCCCCCGGTGCCCCCCCGAGCCGCACGCCGAGGGGGCCGCCGGCCACAGGCCCCAGGATCGGAGGGGCGCTGCCGTCGAGGGCGGCGGCGCCGGCCCTCCCCCTGGCCTTGGCATCGCTCGGACGTGTGCATGTTTCCTTCGGCGAGGACCGGCGAGGAGCATCCTGAACGATTTGGCGACAAAAACCCGCGCACGAAACCGAGAAAAAACACAGGGAATGGACGTCCGAGCGATGCCCAGTGGCGGGCGGCTGCCCTCCTGCGGGCCTCCTGCAGACTGCTCGCCGCCGCGGCCAGGACGTCCGCGGCGGCAGACGGGCCAGGCCAGGACGGACCCCGGACGGGGTCCGGGGAGCGATCTGGAGCGGACGGGGAGAGGGCGCGAGAGCCGCCGTGGGCTCGACTGGCCCTCCTCGGCCGGACGAGGTCGGGGCGTCGCGGCTTGGTTGCCTCGCCGGGTTTCGTCGGGCGCGGGGGGGTCGCTCGCGGAGCAGGTGCGGCCCGAGGAGCGCGACCACGCGGATGGGGTCCAGGGCTCCGTGGTGCTTGACAAGGCGTTGCAATCTTCCGACGCGCGGGCGTCCTGCCGTGGCCAACTTACTTCTGACGTGTCCTGTTTATGTTGTGCCAGTGCTCTCAACCTGCTTCGCACAACGCCAGCAGGAGAACAAACAGAAACAAAGCAGACGACGGCAATGTTTCGCGACGCCGGTTGGCTGGGGAAAGCGCCTCACCACCCACCAAACCACCCCAACCCAACCCGAAGGCCTCAATTTGCCCTCCATTTCCAGTGTGGGGGGGTCCGGGAACATCGAAAAAACACATATGAAGCCCATATCCCCCCCAACCCGAAATTCGGGTCTTCGGGTGGGGTTCGTGTGGTCTGGTAGGTAGTCAACACCTGTGAGCCACCGCCGTGCTGCCCGGCCAGGGACAGCCCCTGGCCGCAGTAGGGGGGGCGCCTGACGGGCACGGCGGCGTGCTGTGCAGACCACGCCTGCGTCTGCCCCACGGTTAAGTCGGGCGTGTCCCCCTACAGGGGGATTTTCGACGAAAAATAAAGAATATCCCAACAACACCCTCAAAAAGGTCCAAAAATGCTAGAAAAATAGTCTCCGGACTATGTTTGGATTATTTTTTAACATATTTTGGAGTATTATTTATTTTTCGTTGGAAATCCCCCTGTAGGGGGACAGGCCCGACTTAACCCCACGGACCCCAGGTGCCGTGCTTTTCTTCACGCTCGCAGTCGACCCCCCCGAGCTCCCGACCACTCCCCCCACAGCCCTAGGGCAACGAAGAATGGCATGAGCATCATAGCACGGAGGTCCGCGCAGATGTCCCGCATCCGCGCTGGGGCCCCCCGGCGGCGCCTCCGACGCCGCCCCTGGCGCGCTCCGCGCGCCAGGGAGGGGTTCCCACGCGGGTCCAAGAAATCCGCGCGGACCTCCGAGTTTTCATGTTTACGCCACTCTTCGTTCCCCTCATCCCGCGTTTCATCCTGAGTCGTTTCTTTCAAGAGGGGAAAAAACACACAGACACAATTAATCGTCCACTCCCAGGAAAATATGGGAAAATATGGGAAGTGGGGGGGAAGACAAAAACCTAGAAAATATTGGAAATATGGAGAATCTCTTTACTTGTGTGGATGTATTTGTGTGTCCCAGGGCCCCTTCATTCTTGACGGCCCCAGGGCCCGACGAGGCCCCCCTCGGAGGCCACAAGCGCTCCAAGAGCCGTCCGCCGGGACTGCCCTCACGACGCGGGGGGGGGGCGGGGTCTGCTGGCGGCCGAGGATCGCGCGCCGGTTCCACCCGGACAAGTGCCACGAGCCCGGCGCGGGCGAGCGCTTCCGCCGCGCGCAGGATCGGGGCGATCGAAATGAGTACGCAAAAAATACTCCAGATTTCGTAATAAAGGGAGGGGGGTCTCATTTCGGGGGGGGGTCTCTTCCAGGCTATCTTGGAGGGCCTGGGGGGTCTGGGGACGATGTTTTGGAGGGTTCTCCCACGGGGGAGGTCTGAAATGGCTTGTCTTGGAGGGTCCAGACCCCCTCCCTTTTATTACGAAATCTGGAGTAGGCACAAAGACCGGCAGCATGTCCCTGTCCACTCCGAACCGCATTCGCTGCTTCGTGGTCGGTGCCACCGCGGGGCTTCTCCATTTGAGACAGAAGGCCGCCTGCCCGACAGCGGCCGCTGCCGGTTTTGGACAGCATCTGTTGCTGGGCATCGTGCCCAGTTCTTCCGTATTTGTCCATTCCCAGACGTGCGACGTCTCGTTGTTTTCGAGACGCGGGCCCCTGACCTCCCGACCACTTCCTTGGGACCGGTTTTTCATCCCGAGTCGTTTTCTGACGGTCCCGAGGCCCGGCGAGGGCCCCGAAAGGGCAAAAACTACGAAAAACTTCCGTCTCGATAAGGGCAAAAACTACGAAAAACCTCCGTCTCGATTTCTTCGAGACGCCCGATGTCTGGGTTTCGGGCGTCCCAAACAGGAGGCCTTCGCCGCCCTCGGCAGGGCCGGCGCGGGCGCGCCCGGGCAGGCGCCGGAGCCCGCGCCGCGCGGCGCCCCCGAGTGCGCCAGCGACTCGGAGAGCTGGGAGGCGCCGCGGCGGCCCGCGGAGAAGAAGGCCCCAGGGTCACTAACTCAAAACAGACGCCCAATAAACGCGAGGGCCAAAGCAGAACGCAGGCTCCTCGAGACTTTGGGGAGGGAGATTTGGGGGCCTACGGTTTTACCAACGACGAAGGCAAAACATACCCCGAAATCTTTGGCCGATCTTCGAATCCTCGGTGAATCCGCGATTTTGGGGTCGGGGATGTGTTTTCTCTTGGTCACAGGGCGCCCGAGCAGGGACGGATCGGGACGGCCGACGTGGGCACGGAGAGAAGGGGCACGATGCCCAACAGCAGTTCCCGTTCATTTTGAACGGGACTCGCTGTCCGCGCCGCCGCGGCCTGTGTCCATTTGAGACAGAAGGCCGCCTGCCCACCAGCGGCCGCTGTTGGTTTGGGACAAGTTTTGTTGTTGTGCATTGTACCCATTCTTTCCGTACCCATTTCGGGCGTCCAAAACGGAGCAGGCCCAGGCCTCCAGCGTGGATCTCCGCAGGGGTTGCCCCAGGGGATGCGGGGGTGATGTCGAAGAAGAAAAAAGTCAGGGGTGGACAGACCTCCTGCCCTGACACGTCGATTCAGGAGTTGGCCGTTTTCGGTTCGCGAGGGGGCGTCGCGGCCGTCATTTTTGCGGGTCCGGGTCCGTCGGTTTCGGTCCGAGGCCGTTTTCACTAAGGGGAGGTTTACTAAAGGGAGGTTTGTCCACCGCCGAAAAAGCGCCATAAGCATAAATTGTTGTCCAATGTTTTCTTCTTCTATGGTGGCAAGGTGCTTCTTCTATTTTTGGCGAGGAGATGCGACTAGGAGCTGGCTGGCGGTCCGAGGTGGCCCAGCACTGGTTCCGACCAGCAGGACGGCGAGGCGGGGTGCGAGGTGCTGGGCTCAAGAGGGTTTTGCTGCCTTTCCCTGTCTCTGGGGGCGGCGTTCGGGCCCCGGGGCCGTCAAGATCGCATTCGGGTTGAGAAACACTCCAGATGGACGTCGGGACGGGTCTGGGGATTGATTTTGAAGA